TTTATGCGGACCTGTGATGGCAGCGCTGGTGGTGCTAGTAGTTGTGCTGGATGCTGGGAGTGGGGCGTTTTGGTTGCTGAACGGCTTTTCGCTAATGAAGCCATAAAGATATGTATTATTCCTATGCCATAAATTTAGCTGAGCCGCCTTGCGCTTCGACTGTGACACCCACATTGAAGAGAAACAAAGAGCAAGAGGCAGACAAAGAAGGAGAGAGAGAGAGAGGTGGTACGAAACAGGAACAGGAAAAACACTTCAGTCTCTTTTGGTGGGTTATTCCCTTTGCATCTGGCACGTCGCCGCTTTGATTATCTAGCAATGTTTATGCATTTGACGATGGTGCCGCATTTAATTTTAACAACAATTAGCCACGCAAATGCAACAGCTCGAGGGGGCGGGTCCGCTGCGGATAGGGCTTTGCCTTTTGGCAACAGAACGTTCCTGTTGGCCATGTCTAACCCCAGCTAAGAGTTTGTTGCCAGTTGCGGCCACTCGGCTCTCTCAAACGCCTAACAAGGTGTCAATATCTTAAAAATGTTATCTTTCTGCACATAAAACTCAAGCGGATCATAGTAAATCAGCCTTTGGTAAGCAGACGATGGCCTAGCCTCGGTCAGCGTCGCAGTCACAGTCGCAGCCAGCTCAGCTTAGATCAGCTCAGCCCAACCCAGCCCAGCTTGGCTTAGCTAGCCAAAGACTATAACAATGGCCGCCTGGCCAATGGAGCGCACAACGTGCCTTTTATACGCCGGATTTACGAGCCAAGTCGACGACGTCGTGGCGAAGAAATATTCGATGGCCAAGCAACGATTAAAACGGACTCTTCACGCATGCGCGCACACACATACAAGAGCACAGCCATAGCTGCTACATAATGGCTATCACTGGCTACTATGCTGGACAAGTGCTTAGGTATAGCTAATGAAAAGTAACCAAACATTAACATAGTTAAATGAAAACGCTTGTATATTCGAGTGTATTATTATCACATTTATAAACTTAAAAATTTCAATAATAAAATTTATAACAAATGAATAATAGAATAATACCAATAATTTGTATGTAAATAAAAAATTGAGGTGTTCGCACAATCGCTCTACTATGCAATTCTCATTGACTGAAATGAGCGTGCATAGTCAAGGCTTCATTTTTTGGCAAATTTATTATAAATATAAATTGCATGTCACTCTATGAGTAAATGTATGCATATAAATGTATATATATATATATGAATGTATATTTATATGTATACATATATTTTGAATTATTGTCTCTCTATGCACTTCTCATAAATATAAGTATAGTAGAGTTCACACTTTGCCCATGCGCTTATTGAGTCGTGTTGCCAATAAAACTTTTCTATCCATTAGATCTGACTCTCGTTTACTCCATCTTTCTCACTATCTTCCCCATGTTTCAGGGTAATTCATTTCTCCTGACTCTTTTTAAATTTCTCTCCAATTATGTTATTGATAAGCATTAGGTCTGCTAACTTCTATGTGAATGAATTCAAACTTATATTGAGAATTCATATTTAATGTTTTATTTAACCTAAAATGTCGACCAGCATAGTAAGAGGGGCTCGCTAGCTGGCTGGCTCGCTGGCTGGCTGACTGGCTGGGTGTTTGCCCTGGCAGCATTTGCAACACCAGACCAACATCGACATGAGCATCGGCATTGAGTTGGGCTTGAGGCATGCATGGGGTATTGGATTGGGGAGCAGTCGCATCATGTGCGCAATGCACGCACGTGATTAAAGCGCAGCCCCGTTGAGTAAGGGCAGCGGTATGAAGGAGGTAGCGTAGGGCGGTAGGGGGCTGCTGCTGCTGGAGAGCGCTCGCGATGCATGCTTATAAATCAGAATTCAGTTTTGGTCCCAATGACGTCGACAATCAGCTCAGAGGCCAAACCAGAGGCGGTGCGAGGCGTTGGCAGCGGGTACGCACAATATATTGATAAATAAATAAGTTCGCCAAAGGCTTTTGTCTTTACGAGATTCGGGCAATATCTTCTGTTAAATTTGTTGTTGTTGTTGTTGTTGTTGTTGTTATTGTTGCTGTTGTATTCACTTTTCGTACAAGTTCAATGCACTTGTGCAACTGGTTTAAATTAAAATTTGAAAATTCATTTTGAATGATTTATGCGCAGCATCTTTTGCAGCACGTTGCGATTTCATTGCCGAAATTAATATCAGAATGTTTTACGATCCAAATATAAGTATCCGGCCAACATTCACAACTCACAATTCGCAATTCACAATTCAAACGGCGTCCATGTCTGACTCTTGACCCTGGCGCCGGCTCGTCTTGTAGCCAATAAATTAAGGCGTTCAAAGATATGCCGCGGATCAGCCTAGCAAAGCCCCAGCTGCTGGCTGGCTGTTGGCCAAGAAAAGTTCTTAGAGCTGCTCAAAAGTAAATAAGTGTCTAAGATTTGTCATATTGCAACATGAACAGCCAGCGCTGATAATAATAATAATTTCAAGTTAGCTTGTGTAATATGATTTTCTAATTTCTCAGCCATAAAGAGAGACTTCCAGTTGAAGAATTCCTTAATTACAATCTCAATGCGTCACGTCAAAGTCAAGTCTGGCCTAATCCGAGCTTAACTTGTCTTAATAACAGTATCTTGCGGCTCTCTAATTAAAATCTCGCCCCACGAATTAGAAGTACTTCAACTGTTTAGCATTAGCATAATCTCCATCTTTGGCTCATTCTGAGGCACATTACGCAAAGTCCGCATAGTATTCAGTTGAAGCTCTGTAAGTATTACTTAAGACTGCGGTTTAGTCGCTTGACTGCCTCGATCAAATTTCAATATGGCCCATTGACAAACTTGAGATGCATTGCATTAATAACGATCGAGTGCGCCTGGACAGGATTAAGACAGCTCTGACAACAGCTTCAACTGCTTTGGCTCGTGCGCAGCCAAAGAGTTAATTATCTTGATCTCACATTTCAATAGCCGTTGGCTAAACTATATATTAACATTGCGCCATAAGCAAGGAATTATCGAATTTTAGAATTTTCCAGTCAGCTCGTAACTTTGCAAATATGAAATCGCCTGTGGGCAGCTGTTGTTAGAAATTTTGAATTTGTTTGTAGATTGATTAATATATTTATTTGACTTATTTGTTTTTATTAATCATAGTTCATAGTTTTTGCTTTGTTACTTAAAGCTATTTGGTAGGAAGAGTCACGCTTAAACAGACTTGAACTGTTGTCAAACTTGGCCTCAGAGCAGGCAGAATTTACCAATATCACGGCAAGTTCTATAAAAGTTATAATTTTAAATAAAATGTATTTCCTAATAATAACTTTTACTTATATTTAGATTTCTCCCTGGACAGCTCTACATCGATAACTCGACTCAAGAAGCTACTGTACAACAACGCCAAAGCTCTCAAGGAGCTATATCAAGATAAATGCGAGCCACAATGGCAGTAAGAATGTGAGTGTGAATAAGACTAGCTGACAGTATGCTGACACCTACTTCTGACAATTCGTCATAGATAATGCATACAGTACACTCGGTAAAGAGAGACTGAAGGCGAGCGAGGCACTGCTTGGACTACACCTTCATTTATGTGACGGGACAGAGGTATTTGGGGGAATGCCGAAAGGTTATTTACCTGCCTTTACGTCAATAATGGAGTACAGAACAGGGCGGACTGCCAGACGGCCGGCTGCGCAGTTCAGTTTCAGACAGATCTCTACTAACGATACCGTTTCTGCCTCCTCCCCCACGACCTCCGCCTCCCTCAAGCAACCGCCAACAGAGCGCGCCGACTCGACACGATCTACATAACATTTGCTGCGGCTAATGGCTCGTTGTGCGCTGTGCCAAATATGGATGGAAATGGATACGGTTTTCGGATGACCAATGACCACTGGACGACAGTAAAGCCCACTGAAGCCGTGCTTACACTTGAAAAAGAAATTTCAAGCAAATCTATAAAAAAAGTTCCAACTACAATTAGAACTCGACGCTTCAATAGACTTAAGTATTTTTTGTTTTATTTATAATAAAGTAAAGGAAATTCGTACATTTTTTGAAAAAATATATATGTATATATATTTCAGTAATATTCAAGAATTTTAAAATAAGAATATTTACTACATAAAAATATTCTTAAATAAAAATATTCTAGTCCAGAATTCTATGGCGAAAATGTAATTTATATAAAATATTCTTATACCACTTTCATACGATAAAAGCTAAAAGCAATTGAGAAATTTATTCAAATATTGAGGACATTATAATGGATTTGCAAGTGTAAGCGCGACTTGGCACTAACGGTGTTTCGGAACAATAAAATTTGCTGATCAGTATATAGCCGCGTCTCAGTGGCCTCCGTGGAGCGGACTATATCGATATATCATTAGCTGGCTTTTGATTTACAACCGCCTTTGTCTGGCTGTTTGCCTTTTGTTGGGCCCATTTTGGCGAGTGGTAAGCGAGGTAAATGTGGCTGACTGCGGCTAATAGCACTTTCCAGCCACAGCGCCAAGCCAAACTATTCACATATGCAGAACGAATGAAAGTGTTCTCTATAACAAGCTCCAATTCGCCAGCAGACAGACAAAGCGGAGCAGAGCAGAGCCGAGCCGAACAGAGCAGAGACCAAAGCATTTGTATGAGTTGCAAGCGACTGTGCGACTTGGTTGACTTCAAACCGGGCTCAAACGTCTTCGAAGTCCGAACCTGAGACGGAGACCAAAGCCGAAGTTGCAGAGCGCTCGAAGACAGCAGTCAATGTTGGTTGGGCCTGGCGAGCGGACGTGTGAGCGCGCTTGAAGACGAAGTCACGAGTATAACGAGAAAGACGAAGAATAACGTAAAACGACCAAATCGCGAGTGTTCGCCTCTGCGTGTATTTCAATTGCTTAAGTGTGTGCGTGTATTTTGTGTGTGTGTGTGTGTGTGTGTGGCTTTGTGTCTGTGCGTGTGCGCGCGCGAGCATGTGCAGCATTTGAGTTGTCACGTAACTGCAAACTGCAATGGCCAGGAGCTGGATCGAGGCCAGCAGGCTGCTGCTGTTGCTTCTGCTCATCCTGCAGCTCATCGCGGCGACGCCAGCGGCGCGCAATCCAAATTCATATGGCAACAGCAACAATATTTGGCGACACGTTCGCCTGGTAGCCAGCGGCAGCGCCACCTCTGTTCAAGAGCGCGAACGCAATGCCTATCAGCTGCTCAAGGCAAACAGCAGCAGCACCGCCTCCCCCACCACTACTACCAGCAGCACCACAACCACCACTAGCACCACCACCACAACATCTGCACCACGCCGCACCGCCAAGCAGCTACTGCGCCGCGAGGATCTGAACGTGCCCGAGAGTAATATTTCGAGTGCGGCGCGCTTGGAAATGTCCACCGAGTTCTTTGTGGTGCCCACCCTGATATCGAGCACCAGCAGCAATAGAAACAGCAGCGAAACTACCACTAAAGCCACGCCCACGCGCAGCCAGGGCGCCCGAGCACGCGCCGCCAACACGCCGCGTGCCACACAGAGCGGCGGTGCCACACCGCCCAGCATTGTGTCCACCACCCAGCTGCCGTTTGCAGGCCTACGCAAGGAGGTGTGGGTGGTGCCTGTATTGGTGCTGGCCAGCCTTACGATGCTTATGATGGGCGCCTTCGAGATCTTTGTGCTGTTTAAGGCCTGGCGCACTTCACCCTCGCGCCGTCATCTGTTTCTGGGTCAGATGCTACTGCTGGGCTTGTTTGCCTGCGCCGGATTGGGGGCTGTAATTACTGCACAGCCCACGTTGCTCAGCTGTGGCGCCATACGCTTTGGCGTGGGCGTGGCCTACGCCTTGGTATTTGCCGCACTGCTCGTTAAATGCGTGTTCCTAATCAGCTTGAATGGCGGCGTCTATTTGCCAGCACCGTACCAGGGCCTGCTGCTGCTCTTCGCTCTGCTCATCCAGGTGGCTATCGGAGCACAGTGGCTGCTGACACAACCACCCGAGATTTATACCACCAGTGTACCGGTCATGGGCAGCGGATTCCTGTCCACGACAGTCGCCTCGCAGACCAACTACTCGGCGCTCTTCTACCCGACATCCTACACCACGCTGGATGGCACGCCGGAGATCTACACGAGAATCGCGGCTGTGAGCACCGTGCTGATACCGTTATGCAAGACGCAGTTCTCTGAGCTGCTCTTCTCACTGATCTACATTGTGTTCCTCATTGTGTTCATTGCGGTGCTGGCGATAAAGTCGCGTGGCATTCGCGACAACTATCGAGAGGCGACATATATCGGTCTGGCCATTGGTGGCGCCATTCCCATCTGGCTGGGCTGGATGCTGTGCGGTCTGGCTGTGGCCGAGCGGCATAAGGACGCGTGCATTGCATTTGGATTGGTGGCAACGTCGGCCACCGTTTTCCTGGTCATGTTCATGCCGAAGGGCAGACAGCTGGCGGCAATGGGCAAGGAGGGTCTCTACGTTGAGGATCGGGAGGAGCAGTTCAGTTCGCTGAGTCGTGCCGGATCCGGCTATTCGCCATCCTTCTTTCACTTCAAGCCCATCAAGTATGGCGTCATGAGCGGCTGTGGCCTGCCAAATTCCGCTACGAATACCGGCCAGGGCCTCAGCTCCAAGCACTGTTCCAGTGCCAACAATGGCGGTGGTAAGTTTCCCCTACATCTAAGCAGCTTTCAATTCAATAATGTCACAATTGTCTGCAACGAATCACATTTGGCGGCACAGCCCATGCTACCGGGTGTCCCGGACTCTGTTTCCGACTCTGACGCTGGCCCTTGTCAGCTGCCAGTCTCAGAGCATTTTGTAATAACTTTCTTTTCTTGCCTCAGCAACAGCCTCAACACACATGTCGAGCAAAGGGGGTGGGGCCCGTACCGCCTTGGGGCGAACTCTTGAACTGCTGTTTATCTGTACGGTCGCTCTTTCTAAAAACAAAAGCCAAAGAAAAGCAAAAGTCTTAACTTTCATAGTTGATCTCCAAACGGTAGCCAACACACAGCACAGTGGCACAACAATTTAGCGTTAGAAAAACAATTAAAGTCAAATTTTATTACAATTTCATGAAAAAGCTTATGAAATTTATTATTTACAAGAATTGTTCAAGTTATCTCATGCTCTGTTTTATACTTTCTTCTCGCATTTCTACTAGACTAACTAGGCTAGTCTATAGGAAACAGAGTTTGGTCTTTTCTGAGTATAAGCATTTTTAAGCCTTTGCTGGACAGCTTCGAGGTATTTTGTACCACTGTGCAGCGACATTAACTGGGCTTAAAATTGTTTTACCATGCCTTGTAATTGTTTGGCATATTAATTTTCTCAACAGCCGCCGTGTAAGCCGAGTGTAAAAAGAGCATACAACATGCAGCAGCTATCCATCTGTCTATCTGACAGTCTGTCCGTCCGTCTGACAATCTGCTTGACTATCTCTGTATTCATTTGTCTTTTTGCCTCTATGCACTGGCTGCCTGAGTCTGCCTGGCTGCCTGTCTGCCTGGCTGCTTTCATTTTCGTTTCGGTGAGAACATCGCGCAGGTTCGTTGGTTAAGTCTTTTGATTTAGTTGCGGTTGCTGCTGCTTTCTTAATCATTTTTGATAACTGCTCGGGTCATTATTATTATTGTGCAAATGAGGCCATCAAGCAAGAGTATGTATTTATTAGTCAGATTTCACATCTGGTCATTAAGTGGTGTTAAATGTCATTGTCAATTGATAGAAATGGTCACGAGCCCCAGCAAATGGCACAGTCAAAGAGCAAGTGAAAATGTGACCAGCTTTTGCTCCACTGTCATTTATAAATCAAACTTAAACAAAATAAATATTTGGCAATGTTTTTGTTTAACTTTTCTAAACAACACAACAAAAGTCTTTGCACGTTCGCTTTCTAATGAAAGCAAAAACTGTTGGCCAGGGTGCTATTAGAGTAGATGGGGAGAGGGAGAGGGGCGGCAGGCAGGCGATGGATGTGCGTGTCCGAAACATGTAACACATTTTACACTTTACGTAATTTAATTAATGAAAAAACATAAAGTTTACGATTACATCAAGCAATCAAAAAAATTGTAAGGTAACAATCGAGCATACACGAAGCACAATTACGCTGTTACGTAAAGCTAGGCTAAGTCAATAAAGCCCAGTTTATTTATTGCCTTATGCAAGGTTTTTAATTCATAATTAACAGCTGATCTTATATTATATAAATAAGAATTTTAATCTGCTCTGTTCTTAAGGCTTGATATTTAGTCATCGTGTCGCTTAGCTTTAAAGTCATAAAACTTGAAATTGTTCCTTATTCTCGGACTTACAAGCCGCTTACATAACAATTCTCTTGGTTAGAGTATAAATGTTGCAATAATTTACCGAATTATAACAATGCGCCGATGGGCTTAAGTAGGAAGCATTTTATATGCTAGCTACTTGACGACGACGACTCTTTGAGTGTGTGTGTACGGATTGAGGCTCTTGCCACGCATGAAAGCAAGTATAACCAATACAAGGCACCGGCAGAGGTATAACTGGAGCTGGAGCTGGAGCTGTAGCTGGAGCCGTACAGCCCACAGCTGAAACGCTTCGTCTCACGCCAAGTGCCTGTGGGCAGCCTCACTCTGCGTCTGGGCCTAGCTATCGGTGCATAAAGAAAGCAAAACAAAGAGACACAGCAGACAGAGAGACAGATATACCAACAAAATATAGGTAGGTACATATATAGATAGATAAATGAAAGATATAGTACTTTTGCTAGCTACATATATACGTCAAACTGTCTGCAATTGAAAGTGCATTTGAGGGTACCAACAACAACAACAACAACGAGTACGACAAAAATGAAAAAAACGCCAACAACAAGAGATACAAATGTCTGGAGACACAGAGCTTAAAATCAAAGTTGGCACAGGGCTTAACAAGCAAACGGAGCAGCTTGAGTGCTGATCTGAGCTGAGCTGACATTATCGGTCCCGTCCCAGCTCCGGACTGTGGCATGTGTGTGGGTTGCGGCTGTGATTTCAGCCAAGCCAAGCCAAGCCAAAGTCGCGTCGAGCTGAGTTGCGTTGAGTGAAGTGAGCGAGGTTCAGGCAAAAGGGTTTTTGCTTGATTAAGGGCAAAAATGTAACATAAAAATAATAAAAAATAAAAATTGAAGCTCTACGTGGGCTGCTAAGGCAAAATAAAAATAAAAAAAAATAAAACTAATTTCCATAAACCAACGTGAACTGACTGAGAGATAACAAAAGACTTAGGCAACAAACTTGAAAAGACACTTTTAGGATATAAATCAAAACGTAGTCAATTCTCAAAAGCCTGAAGCTACTTTAAATTATCTCGAGCTCGAGGCGAGTTCTAATTAGTGTAGCATATTGAGCTGATAAATATGATTTTTAATGCATCTGATCGTAATCCCAGCTTTCAGCTTTTATGTTCAGTCTTCAGCAGAAGTGGAAAAAATTAAATTGAAATCGAAATTTAGCGGTAAGCTAGCAAATGAACCGTTCTTATATTCTTAGGTAAGACGGAACCCACCGTAAAATTGGTTTCTAATAAACCCACAATATCAAATTTCCTGTCAAACCCTGTCTCATAATATATACATGTGTGAGTGTGTGTGTGTATGTGTGTGTGGTCGTTCCCAGTAAGCAGTTCGGCACATAATTCACTGAGCAATTTGCAACAATAAACTAAACGACAGCTAACGGCGTTGACGCCAAGGAATGAGCCAAAGCCGAAGCCGTGGTCGGAGCAGAGGCCGCGCTCGATGATTGCCAAGGCAAAGGCAAAGGCAAAGGCAAGGCAGACGAGGAACGCAGATTGACAGCTTCAGCTACAGCTACAGCTACAACTACAACTACAGCTTCGCTTTTATCTGGGCAGAGCTCACCGGTCTGGTTGCTGTTGTTTGCTGTTTGCTGTTTGCTGTTTGTTATTGTTGCTACGACGCGTCGCCAACATGGCCAAGGATCGGCAAGCTGCTGACTCGCGATATGGCCGATATGAGCAGCCGCTGTTGCCGTTGATTGAACGCGCATAAACCGCTTGAAAAGAGTTCAAGGTTGCTCGCTTTAATTGAAGGCGCATTGTTGTAACAACTACAACTACAACTACAACGATGTTGATGATGACGACGACAGCAGCAACAGCCACCGCAGCAGGGAGCAAACGACGCGTTGACAGGCGTAGTCACAAAAATAGATACTCAGAGGGAGGTTCAGCAACTATGTGGGTTTACTATAATAAGGCAAACGTATAAAGCTATAAATATATCATATATACTCGTATACTCTATACTATAAATGACCAACTGTTAAATAAGACTGTCTCATAAATATACATATGCTTGATCTTCATTAAGGATTTCGTCGCTTCTGCTTATTAAAAGCAGAAACCTTCAAGAGTTAGATACACAAAGATGTGAATTGAGCAATAGAAAATAAGGCCGATTTAATCAACAATTGTTTAAAAATATTTTTTTGTATAGGTTTAAGCCCTAAGGTGACCAAGTACTTAGTGGAGCATCCCATTATTTAGGTACTTCCGCCGCTGTTGCATGATGAAATCATTTTTTTTTCTTCTCATCTCGTTTCGTTTCTCGGCCGTTGTTGTCGCTGGTTTTTCAATGATGTGTCGCCGTCAGGCACTTGAACTGACGATGGCCACTTGGTCAGTAAGGTGGTTGTGGATGCATCTGGCGTTGGCCTTTGTTCTCTGCGACAGCGCATTTTTTCGTAATTTTATTGAGTGACTTTATGCCAGGCAGCTACATATATAAAATCAATCATTCAAGCCAATGCTGCAGCGACGACAATAACAATCGCAATCACACAAATAATAACAACTACAACAATAATGCTAATTCATTGATTTGTCTGCGTCGTTGTTGCTGTTGTTGTTGTTGTCAACTTGGGTACCTGGTTGGGAAGGTTAAGCGCAGCTTGGAGCGCTGTTGCGGAAGTTTTTGTCTTGCCCGCTCATGTTTATCTATGGGATATATCAATACTTATACACTAAGTCGTCAGAGGAGGCCACATTCTGGCATATCCATTTAACTGTGCCGACGTTAAGAGCTTGAACACTTGAAAAGCTAATCGATTTCTCAGTGAGTTTGATCGCTTGAATAAACAACTAGAAAGCAAGAAAGTTCTGTTATAATTAGCATAGCTCGCCAATTCCAATTCTTACTCGAATCGTCTTAACCTAGAATGGTGTAAACAAGTCAACTAGTCTGTTGCCAAAAGTCTTTTGTTAAACAATTTACAAACTTTCAGACCATATAAACTATCCCCAGCATTATAATCGAAATCGTTTTACATGTTGGCATAGAGAAACTAGATTATAAACTGAAGCGGCTAACAATACAAATTTTTATTAAAATTTACCCTTTACTTCGGATTGACTCTACAATAGAACTGTTCTTCTCAAAGAAAAAAAAAATAAAATAAAACAAGTTTTTGGCTAAGTTCGTTTGGTGAAAGATATTTTATGATCGTGTAATACAATCGGTCGTATTAACAAGCTCCATTGACCTTCGCCTGGCTTTCTTGTGGCATAATTAATAAGCTGTCCACGCTAAGATTGTTCGTGGGGACTTACAAAAACATTTGTAAATTGTTTTTGTGGTCAAGCTAGGATACTCTTTTAACTCTCAGTTAAACGAAG